GCCTACATACAGTACTAGCACCACATAAAACTTGAAGATTTCTTAAGTAAACAAAGAATGCTAAGTTACTGTATTCACATGATGTCAAATGCTTTATATGTCTACATGAACCCCTTAAAGACCAAGGCCCACCAGCGGGCCCAAAGTTTTATTAAACACTTCTATAACCTAAGAATATCTCAGCCAGGTTGCATTGAAGCACCTGTAGTTACTGAATAATAAGCCTTAGTATGACTAAGCCTGGGATTTTAAGGGGTTAAAATACAAAAGCAAACAATATTATTAACAGGCCTTACATATGTGGGTATTTAGTGTAGATATATAATAATCGTGTAACATTGTACAAACAAAAGGTAGTCAGTATAGCTGTTAGGCATCTTGCAGCCCAAAACCTGCAGAAAAACAGAAATATACTGTTAAGTTTTCTTTAATTTTTTAATGGAATACATCCTTCTACTTTCCAAAATTAAAGAAGTTCCTGCAGAAATGACTAGAAACATGTTTCATATTTTATTTTTAGCCATTCAGCTCCATTTACCACCTTCACTTATAGGGAGTGACTAGACAGCCAACATCAGGAGCTGAGCCCATCAGACCCATTTCAAGGCCTGTCCCATTTTCCTTAGCCCTCCAATCACAGCGTAGCATCTGCTGCTAGAGGCTTTTCAGCACTTTAGCAGCACATATAGATATATTTTTGACAAAAGATGTGCCTGGGTGATTTTTAACAGACACCTGATACCATGACAGAGTAGAGGGTGTTGTTTGATACGTGTTTGTGTGGTAAACCTATGTGTTTTCCAGAGATACCTGTTTCCAACATTTGCTAAAAGGTCAGTAATTTTCATTACATTCATAGTTATTAACATGAGCATGACTCCACATGTGATGCTGTGCAGATTGTTAGGCTGAGGCCCACTTGAGTATGTTACTGTTTTAACCACGTTATCTATGTAGTAAGTTAACTTTATTAAGTATAAATATGGAACAAACAGTAAACTTAAAACCAAAACTGTAAATCATCCTAATTAAAGCATACTGCCACAGCAGGCATGGAAAATGTTTTTTTTTCTACCATTTATATCTTACCTCTGATGACAGTTCACAGATCACTGATGATAAGGACGATGCAACTTTATTTATTTTGGGTGGCTGACATTTCATATTCTTTTGGAAATAGGCATCCTCTACTCCACCAAAGTATCGGGTCTCACTTTTACAGACCTCCCCAGCACATATTTTGTGGATCATCACATTCAAAGTACATTCAAAGAAACACTAGCTTGTTGCTGAAAACCTGAAAGCTTGACCAAAGTAATGGAATGATTGATAAGCAGTGATAAGAGGAGAAAATGACAACACAGAGAGCATCATTAATATGATCGGCCATAACAACAACAATTTTTTTTCCTTGTGCCGCTAGTTAGGTTCCCACCACGTGTCAAAACAGCCATTTAGATTTTCTCCTAATTACTCGTGGGGGCCCCCTAATGGCTCAGATCCCTGAGCTCAAGCCCATGAAACCAATCGGATGCTCCAGGCCTGCCCAGCAGTTAGGTCAGTGATTGCATCCTCCTGAAATGACTGTGTTGCATTTTGGGATGCAGCGTACCACTAAAATAGCTCTGGCTGCGTACAGGAATATTTGTCCAGTATATCGTCCTAATAACTTCTACATACTAGAGAAACTCATGTTGGTCACATTCTGCATACTACCTACTATTTTGGGCACAATCAATACGTGAGCTGTATGTAGTCAGCTATTTCTACACCCTTGCCCTTTGCATCAACACATTGATGACATCACAGTCTTGGAGGAGGACCGCAGGGCTTAGAGTGCCATTTGGGACAGGGTTAATGTTTCACGTGGCAACACATGACAGCACAGAAGGAAAGTGCATTATGATTATTAATTCAGGTTACTTTACTGCACTGTGTGGAAACTCATGTTTATACTACTACTCACGTTTATACTACTCACAAGCATGTGTATCTCCTTGTTTCAGACCCACATGCTATTTTCCACACATTACTCCAGAGTTCTCTTCATAATTCCACAGTAATGTTGGTAATCCACCTCCTCTCCTCTCAAGGAGCCACTGCAGACTGCCATTATCTGTGGTTTGTCATCCGTGCCCGGTGCCTCCTAAATTGAAAACACAAGAAAAACACTTCTTTCCCCCACTCTGCATGCCTGTAATCGCTTAAATTTCATTGTCTGCAAAAATATGCTAATGCACTTCGCTGTTTTGCGTGAAACAATAATAAGGAGAAAAGCAATTTTACCATTAGCCAGAGGAGCGAAATTGCCTGAGTCTGATAAATGAGCTTATCCTTAATCCTAATTGTGTCAAAGGCAGGATTTACTACCTCCCTCCACAAACAAGTGCAGAGGTTTCATATCGTAATGTGGACTGCAATTACTCCCACGTGAATCAGAGGTTCAGCACAACCTTGTAGCTGAACTCCTGAAGCAGTGTTACTATGTGTGTTGCTGAGGGGGATAATTGCAAAAGCACTACACAGCATGGCTTAACGCTGTATGATAATCCATGGCCATGTACTTTCAGTGGCAGTTCATGGCAGCAACATTTCAATGGGATTATGTACAGTATTTTCTGCAGTCCTGCTACCTACACATGCTTTTGCTGATATGACAAATGCTCACCCACACTTAATACTTGTTATTTGGTGACATAAGGTGGCATACTTTCCCCTGGAACTGGTGCATAATTTAAATCAAACTGAAAATGCGCTGGCTTATTAACCCATTCATATTCAACAACTAAATTTAGTAAATGACGGAAAAATGCCACAGAACTTGTTCCGATTGGTCAAATGTGATGCAATTTTGTATAGTTATATCTTGAATGACTGCTGGGATAGGCTCCAGCACCTCCCGCAACCCAGAATGATAAGCAGCTTAGAAGATGTGTGTGTGTGTGTGTGTTTGTGTGTGTGTGTGGGATGAACATGTAACAGTAAAATATGATGTTATTACATGTAATTTCCATTATTTTATTCACAATCAAATTCAGATTTTCTACTGTTTTATTATATATCTGTAGTCCCATGTGAGCCATGAGGCCTCTTTCTGTTATTATGCATCTAAACTGTGGCACTCATTTCCTTCTTTTATTAGCCAGTCAAGATTATTGCACACTTTTAAGAAACATTTGAAAACACATCTCTTTAATTTAGCTTTTTTATTGAAATTCTACCATTTTTTGAATTTGTCTTTGTAATTTTTTTCTGTTGTTGTCAGTATAATTTAATGAATACTCTTAGCTTTCATTTATTCTACTCTTTTATTCTTAGTTAGTTCTTAGTTTATTCCTTTATCAGTTTTCCTAGTTAGTTGTATTGTTATTATTATTATTATTATTATTATTATTACTATTATTCTGTGATAATATTTTATAGATTTTTGCTCAGGTAAGTTCATGTGTGGACCAAAAATTAAAGTCATTTGATGATAGTTGGGGGTGGTGGGAGTAGGAGGGGCAAAATGATGGGAAAAAATAACTGATAGGAAAACAATCATTTTATTCTTTTAAATGATATAAAGAATTATGTGAAATATGACCAGGGACATTTTCTAAAAACAACATCCTTTTCGATTTCATGTTGATTTTAAAATGTCAGATAAGGGCATTAATGGATTAATAACTGTTGATGCTGTGCCTATAGCGTACATTGACACTGTCATTGCCATTTCTGAGTTCTAATAGTACTACATTTTCTGTGAAGATTCGTGAGATACCAATATCACACTTTTCTTTTTGCAGAGTAAACCTTTGCTCTTTTTTCCACAAAACATTATCTAGCTTACTTTCAGTGATGACTATATCTGGCTTACTGTCGATATCCATGATAACAAATGAGTCATCCATAACCACTAAACACAGTAAAATTCCCAGTGCTAAACTGACACCTACAGTGTTTATATAAGTCCAAATGAACACTGTGGGCTAAGAGTCAATTCAACACTGTAGGTGTTCATTCAACACGGGGGATTTTGCTGTGTACACTCAACCTCCAGTTAGAGCTGCAGAGATCTGCCGGAGTTGGAGGTGGAATGGACCACTGAGACACTGAGACAGATCTGCTTGCCTGTATTGAGAAAAACAAATTAAATGTCAAAAGGGGTGGCTGAACCCCTTTTAAACTCCCATGTTTGGTGTCACCTCACTCTCAGGAGACTATGTTTAACTGTATATCAGCAAATAATGATATTACATCTGTTCCACATACAGTAAAGAACGTCCAGCTTGGTGAACATATGCAGGCCATGTACAATCAATCCTGCAGACCACATGGGAAAAAAAGTGCTGTAAATTGATATTCTTAAGAAAGTAATGAATTCTGAATGATTTTGAAACAGCAAATGATAGCTGAAATTACATAAAGGTGAAATTAAAAATAATAATAAACAATAATAACATGGAAAAAAGTATTTCAACCAGGAAAATTGCGTGATGTTTGTCCACATTTATTATTTATATAAATACATTTATATATTTATATATATTATTGGATGCCCAAACAAAACCCTTATAAAAAATAAAGAATAAATATCAAAACCACATTACTGGCATCCTTTGCATTTACCCCTGCTTGTACTTAGTGGACAACCCTTATTTTTTAGTTAGGAATGAGTAACGTCTTAAAAGAATGCAAATGTGTGTAAATGTCAATAAATATATGTGTAAAACTATATTTATTGTAAATTTATAATATAGCACTTTTCTACCAGCAACTTTGCTGCTCCGTTTTTTTACAGTACGCGTAAAAGAAGAAAAAAGGCGCGTCATGCTATTGGTTGAGTTCGGTTGTGGGGGGTGGAGAAAGGTGGTGGGGGTTAAAAATATAATTTTTTCACGCGATACTGCACCCTATGTAGACTGTGTCCGGATGCGCGCGCGTGCGGAGCGGAGCTACTGTGGAGGAGGCAGGGCTGCAGGAGCGCATGAGCAGCGCGCGGCGCACACGAGGCTTCAGCTGCTTCTCTCGCTCCTCCTGCACACTCCGCGCTGATGCTGCTGGGAGAGCGCTGAGCACGCGAGCTTCGGAGGGCGAGGGGGAGATTTCGTGAAGCAGCCGCGACACTCATACACCCATGCTTGGGACCTGGCCGCGTCTGCCTTCGCCAATGCAAAAGGAAATATGCAGCGAAGCCTCGCTCTGCTGTGCACCGGCTTCCTGGGACTGTGCCTCGCCTCCAGCTTCCCGAGCAACATCAACATAGGTGAGTGAGTGAGCGAGTGAGCGGAAAGTCCGAGGGGCGCGCAAACGCGCCCGTTTGTCCGGAGCAGCGTCCATCTGGCTCGTTTAAGGGCTCAGCGGTGTCAGCAGGACACCGTTAAACCCGGCGTTGCGCGTAACAGCTTCATTTTCCTTTGTCGATCTCTCTTTTCCACGCAGGTGGATTGTTCCCTACCGAATCCCACGAATATGAAGTGTTCCGGTTCGCGCTCTCGCACCACCAGGATATTCCCAAACTGGTGCCTCAGGTGGACATGGTCAAGACGGGCAACAGCTTCTCCATGACTTACGCCTGTGAGTACGCGCTGCTTTTGCTTCGAGAACGCGCACGACTGAAGGACTGAGCTACATGCCTTCGCGCTGCTGTTGCTCGAGCGGTTCAAACTTTAGCTGCGCTCCCTGTTGCACATCCTCGGGCTTACTGTGGTGACCAGTGTGCACAAAGCTTCCTTAAGATATAGCAGTGTCCACGCAGAGGCTAGCCCACCTGTCTGTGGGGGGTTTATGTGGAAAGAGCAGGTTAAATGTTGTACGAGGCTGAAGTTGGTTCCTTTTCTCAGCTTCTTGTTCCAATTTCCCCGTTCCACCTTAAATGTCCCAGACGCCTGAATGTAACTGCTGCACCATTTAAGGTGGAACGGGGAAATTCGAATAGGAAGCTGACTTGTTTGCAACTGTGAAGGGAAAGTTACCGTCTAAATGCAAGCGAAATGCAGTAAACATGACGCTAAAGTGCCTAACGAGTGGAGCCGGGTGTGTTTGTGATGTGGGGGTCTTTACAGAGCCTTTGTTCAGCCTGTCATTATTCAGCGATTACACTCACGGGCTGCAGTACAGGCGCCTCACTTTGCTCGCATTGTGACGATTGAGGCTCCTGATGGCTTTGCTGGAGTAACGTCTCGATGATTGACTCCGTATTGCAGTGGAAGCAGCTGCTGTCCAGCGCTTTGTGGATTGATCTGTTTAGAGCGACTTAAAAAGCACCTTCGTGCGTTTCAGGTCAGAGTTAAAACACCGGCGTGGTGAGATTCATCTTCAAACACAGAGCTGCGCAGATGTGTTAAAGAGGACCTGGTGCTTCTCTTTGGCCCTTTTCAGCAACTACACAGGCTTCTCGCCCTTTTCCTACCTGTTCATCAAGCAGGAGTGTGAGGTCAGTGGGTCTGTGTGGACAAATCATCGAATAAATCGAACAGTCGAGCGCTGTTTTTTCCCTGTGTCCTCATAATCTAGAGGTTTTGCTCATCCACGTGACGTATGGCGCAGAAATTGCTTACCTCTTGAGTAGATTCAGAAGAGAAAATCTCAAAGCATGAGGTTTAATCCCCCAACATATCTCTCTCTCTCTCTCTCTCTCTCTCTCTCTCTCTCTCTCTCTCCTTGCTCTGTCTTTATTGCTTGCTCTCTTTCACTCTTTTTCTAGCTCTCTCTTCTTGCACTCTCTCTCCCCCTTCTTGCTCTCTCTTTCTTGCTCTTTTTCGCTCTCTCTCTCTTACTCTCTCTCTCCCCCTTGCTCTCTCTTTCTTTCTCTCTCTCCCTCCTTGCTCTCTCTCTTTCTTCTCTTTTTTGCTCTCTCTTCTTATTCTCTCTCGCTCTCTCTCTCCACTTGCTCTCTCTTTCTTGCTTTCTCTTTCTTGCTCTCTCTTGCTCTCTCGCTTTTTCTTGCTTTCTTTTTTGCTCTTTCCTGCTCCTTTTTTGCTCTCTTTTTCTTGCTCTCTCTCTCTTGTTCTCTCTCTCCCTCTCTCTCTCTCTCTCTCTCTCTCTCTCTCACTGTACAGTTTGTACAATGTGTGTTAAGATTGTCTCCCAGCAGTATTAATTGTGACAGGAAAGGATTGAAGAAATGAGATTCATGCCTTGTGTCCCCCATCTCTCTCTCCCTTTCTCCCTCTCCCCTTCTGTTTCTCTCTCTCTCTCAATCTCTCTGTCTTTTCTCTCAGTTCAGTTTAGGATAGTTTTATTGGCATGACTGTATTGACTACAACATTGCCAAAGCATTAGAACAACAAAAACAACACTGACAGGAAAACTCAATAACAATAAGGACATCAGAACAACAACAGTTAAAAAAATCCTGCTCTCTGTTTCTCTCCTTGTCCCTCTCTTTCTCTTTCTCTCTTTCTTTTTCTCTTTATCTCTCTCTATCTCCCTCTGCTTCTTTACTTTCTTTCTCTTTCTGTCTCCTACTCTCTCTCTGTCTCTCTCTCGTCCCAACACTTCTGAGTAACTAAGTTTAAGGTAAAAAGGTGGCTGGTTCAACCTTTGCAGACATGATGAAACCGAAGTGCATAAAAATCTCTTGAAATCTCTTGTTCTTCTTGAAAGAACATTTTTATTTATTCATGCTGTGAAGTAAAAGCTCATCAAAGTAGTCAGGAGCTAAACTGTGTCTGTGAGTCCTGCAAGCCAGTCCCTTGTGTTTATTCCATTAACACAGTTTAATGCAGAAAGATACAGATTTCAGAACACAGCTCGCAGTGTGCTCCAGTGTTTAGTGACTAATACAGTGCGTGGACTGTGCTTTTTTTCTCAAAAGACTCATGAGCTCCTCATGCACAAGCACAGTGATGTAATGGTTCTTTTACTGGGGGGAATAAAAATATAAAGAACTTTAAAGGCCACAGATGTTTATACCTACAGCAATGAAAGAATAGAGCTGATTTTGGTCTTTCGGTATTGCAGTGGTTTATTTTTGTTTTTTTCTGGAAGCTAGAAAAGCCTGAGCTCTCCCACCTAGCAGCTGTTTGATCGAAACACCCCTAATGCTATCCTCTCAGTTAAACTAGACAGCTTGGTGCTCATTAAGGAAGCCGTGGTGGTCCGATTCAATCCTCTTGCTCACCCCCATCCTCACTCTCTTTTCTCTTTGAGAGATATCCTAATTCACTAACCCATTACGCAGTATTGGTTGTGCCCAGAGCGAAAATGGCATGGGGTTTATTAGAGACAATGCAGGGGTCTTTTGCTCCGATGCCATGATTATTTGGGCTGTGAATGGGCAGCCGCGGAGTGCTGTGAAGGCTCTGACTCTGTTTAGGAGCTGAATGGCCTCTTGTGCCTGGAGCTGAATGCGTGTGTGAAGGCTCCTCTCAGCTGTGAGGGAATCGCTCCGCTGAGGAAGGCCGCCTCATCAGCACCTGGCGGGGGACACCAGAGAAGGAAGGGTGAAGGTTATAATAACAGGAGAGCAGGGATCCCTGGTTAGCACCTTTTTTCGCTGAAAGGCTGGATGTGTGAAGTATGACAGCTGATCTCTGCTTAAAGAAATTGTTAGGCATAAAAAATCTAATTTGCACTGTTTCACCCTTTAAATGTACTCAACCAGCCAAGACATATTGGTGCCCAGAGTTTGCTTCTTTAGTTTTGCACTGGAGCTACAAGGCTAATGTAGCTGCCAAGTAATGGACATCTGTAATCACCAATTAGCGCTGTGTAAACTGCGTCACAGGCTTGCCTCAGTGTATGCAGAGTTAATATATAAATTCGATAATATTGACTTGTTTAAAGTGATGTCTGACACTGTATAACGTATTATATTCAAACATTCAAATCTTGGCCTGGGGTCTTTGTGTAAATTGACATTTTAGCCAAGCTAATTCCTATAAAGGGGCACTCTGGCTAAAAAGAAGAATCTAACTATTACTATATTTGTTGTAAACATGCTTACCTGTCTCCTACAGTGGTGCCACAAAAGCCCCAACAGTGAGTTTTTCTACTAGAAATAGAAATAGCTCCCTTCTGATGATGTATCTTGAAGGTGGGAGGAAATTGTGAAGTGCTTTTGGGTGGATTTTTGATAGTGGGCTGCTTGAAATGTTTACTTATATGTAAATAAAGTATCCAATATAATAAATGAAGTATCTGAATTACCTAGAGAATATATATTTATTATATATGTGTGTGTATATATATATATATATATATATATATATATATATATATATAATTTGGATACTTTATTTATCGTTCTCTACATCAGTGCATGTCATTATAGCCGTGGGGGATTGCTAATTGATTTAGGACATATTTGCTATGCATTTAATATGTTACAAATAACATATTAAATGCCGTTATATGTTTTAGACCAGAATACCCCTTAAGTGTACACTTTGTTGCTGATATTTAATGTAATGTAAAGTGTGATTACAAGGTCAGTGAGTGTAGTTTCCAGAAGGTTGACTTTTTACTGGGTTCCTCCCAGTATGTTTGCTTGTTGAATTGAATCACTCCAATCCACCATGATTCTTATCTTTAGACAGAGCTGGAATCGGATACCTTATGCATGTGGAGAGAAAATATTAGTTGTAATATCCCACAGCGAACAATCACATTATCATAATTTGCCAAGGAGTGTAATTAAAAAGGCAACTTCATAACCAGCAGTCTCTAATTTCATCCAAGAATCAGAAATTGCTTAATTTGCAGTAGAACTGGCATCGCAGTGGCTTAGTTAAGGACCCATGTCAGATCTAAAGATCTAGTGCTTAGAGAATAGATACGCAAACCAAAGGGATTAATTGAATGTTCGTGATATGAATATGAACATAATTTCCTCATGATGAAAATATTACAGCACACTTTTTTTTGCTGTAAAATAAAAAATAATGTAATGTAAATCAAGTAAATTCATGCATCACATTTTGGTGTAAAGATTCTCATAAAGCTTATTACAATGACGCAAATGTGAAAAGCTGTAATTTATTCGGCGCTATCAACTACCTTGTTGACATTTGGAGGTGTTGCAGGTTTAATGAGGAACGCTCATACTGGATAGATGAGATGCATTAGAGCTGATCAATAGACTGACCCCTCGCAGTAGCTCTCCAGTCAATATCAGCTACTCATTCCAAACAGTGACTCAAGTGGACATCTCAGCAGACACACGAGTAGATATCTGAACAGATCCACAAGTAGGCATCTGAGTAGCTGTCTTCAGGTATGCCACAGGTGCTTTCATATATTGGAGCCTGGATAATAAGCCATAATATTGCACTACTGCAGAAAGCTTCTTAGTCCAAATTGTGGTGGCTTCATCTGAGAAATCAGTTTTAAATCAGTTCTATTGTTTCTCATCTTTTGCGCCCCATGATGCTAATTGGCTAATTCTCTCTGCCGTTAAGCGCTGCATTTGCTTTTCTAAACCAATCATTGCACCCACTCACATTGTGAGCACCCGTTTTTGCTTACTTATAACTTCAATTAAGTGATAAAACCTGCACGCTCTCCTGTGGTGTCATCTGACACGCTGAGATTGAAGGAAATTGCAAATAATCTTGCTGTTGTTAAGACGCAAA